CAGCCCTTCATTTCACCCGGCTTTCTTTCCCATGGAGTGTGTCTCACACATCAGAGGACACAGGAGCGGCAAAGTGTTAGAGAAAACAACTTACTATCCAACCTGCAGCCGCTGCCTTGAAGAGCAGCCTGAGCTGGTCCTCCCCCTACAGCCTGCAGAGCTGAGACCAGCACTTCCACAGTAGCACTTTGGGTGAGGCAGAAGGGTAGGCCACTTTATTCAGAAGAAAAAAAAAATATTCTTTCCTGTTGAAGTAGGGGCCAACTTTAGAATAGCTAGACCTGAAAGCCTCAGGCCAAAACAGACAGGAAAAGTGTCCCCTTTGTAAAGGGAAGGTAACCATACATCCAGGACACTCATTTCAAATACAGCTCCATAAAAAAACTACATTAATCAGATCACGTGCCCTGAGTTTTTTGACTTTTAGTCACAAGTCATTTTTATGGCTTTTGTGAATACATTTTGTGAACAATGAATTTGCAGGAGTTGGGCCCGCATTCCATTCCACAGATATCAGGAATCTCTGAGAAAGAATAAAAGATTCTGAAGGGAGTTTAAAAAATGCTTTTGGGGTTGGGGAGAGGAGGGAGAATCCACCATACCTGGGTAATGTCCTATATCTGCGCTTCCACTTGGCTACAAATTGATAGCTTTTGCCTGAAAGTGCATGGGCCCCTCCTATGATTTCCAGCCTTCTGGCTCAACAAAGTATTAAAAATACGAGGTGAATTAACAGAAAGAAATAATGAGAGAAGGGGAGCCAATGAGGACTGTAAATTTTGATTCCCTTGTGCTGTCAATTCAATTGCAAGCCACAGCAAAGCCCAGAAACATGCTCACACAAATAAAAATACCACACCCTTCCAAAGTTTCTTTCCCAATGCAAAATTTCATCTCCTTCAGAAGAAATTGTTACTTAAAAAAAAACCTTCCTACAAATTCTTATTTTTAGAATCCTGTCTTTAGGAGGGATCTACAAGTACTTCTATTTATCTAAGTGGTGGCTAAAAGCATTCTGGAGTTCTAATCCAGAAAGCCTGAGTTTCTATCCTGACTCTGCTACGTAATAGCTGGGTAGGCAAATTGCTAATCCACTCCTAGTAGATAGTTTCCTCATCTGTAAAATGGTGTGTTCTTAAGATTAAATAAGTAAAATACAGCTAAAGTATTAGAACAGTGACTGGCAAGTAGTAGGCTAGCCCTCGCAAGTACTGCCCAGAGTACGATTCAAAGTAAATAGATGCAGGTTCCCTTAAATCTAGTCCAGAGGGTTTTGCTGGCCAAAGGGCTTGCTGATCTGAGATGACATTTATAGGAAGCAAATGAAATTCAAATACAGTTAATAACTCCCTTCTCTTACTGTGTAATTATGTGTACTCATTATTTGTGTAGCATGTTAGTATTTAAATGTCCCTAATTTCAGCCCCAGAGGGCCAGGGGCCCTCAAAGAGTGGCCAAGGTCTCAGCCTCTGCCAATCCTTTCCAAAGCTTTTTGTCAATTTCATACAGCCAGGAAAAGTATCATTATCCACAGCAGAAAGTAGAAAGCTCGCAATCAGCACATTGTAGCACCACCTCACCCTTAAGCCCAGCTACAACCAAAAAGCTGTACAGACAACACACAAGGCTGTTCAAGAGTCACATTTGCTACCTCTAGCAGGGCAAAAAAATTCATTCCTTGTCACTTTAGAACCACAAAAGCAAGACTGATGGCAAACATGCATTTTATGACATAAAAAATCAGGTGTCTCTACTATCTCATGTCTGCTTGGGTTATTACTACTTGCAAACATGCAGAACTCAGGCAGCTGGAGCTCACCCGCTCAGATACAAGCTGTAGTGTTTGCACACTGTTAACAGACACCGGACGCCCGACCCCCGCTCACACAAATCTTAAGGGCAAAGGGCTGCCTGCTCATCATGCCAGCGTGCCACTGATTTACCAGGAGTGATGTCAATTTGTTCTCAAATTAGATAAAAATTATGTTAAGCCCATTCTGTTGTTAATGCAAAGAATTACTGTAAAAACAACTGAATTTTCCTGGGAAAGTCTAGCAGAACCAATAATCCAGAAATATCTTTATTTAAAAATTGACATGGGAAAACCAAAATAAAACACTGTTCCTTTCAATACTGTTGTTGCAAAGATCTGGTATAATTTTCATGCATTTTGTGTTGCAAAGTAAGTACTGGGTTCAAAGTTACAGGACTTGAGCTGTAATGTCAACTCTGCTACTGTAAAATAAACAGCTGTGTGACTTTTGTGAAAATAAATGGCTCCATACGGGACAATCTTAAAAGTCTACCACCAGACAAATTTCTGTGACAATTAAAACTGGACCGAGGGAATTATTTTACTTTTGAAATGGAAGCTAGAGAGGCTTAGAGACTGAAGAAAAGAAAAACATACCTTGGCATGACTTAAAATCACTATAGTGCATCCCCCGCCCCTACCCTTACTAACCTAACCTCTGGTTTCAGTTGACCTTTAGGTCAAGGTCTTTCTATTAGATAGGGTACGCATGATGACTGCCTAGAGAGCGCACTCATTCAAACTGACATGATCTACCGATGACTACACACACACACACACACACACACACACACACACACACACACCAGAGCTCCCAGTTACAATTACTCCTACTCTCAACGTCACAAGCCCTGAAGTCTTGCTCCCTGCTGTTCCAGCTTTCTCTGGATTCCGCAGATTTCAGGACAAGTGCGCCCACAGAAAAGGAGTTATTTATTCCCATGGTCCTGGTTTCCTGCTTTCCCGGTATCCCACCTCATCCCCCCAAACAAGAAAGCACTTTGTTTAACACATTAGTTAGCTGCCATCAAGATAATGATTCTAAAAACACGCTCAAGTTCTGAAACAGGGAGATGTGTTTACTCAGAACTGCTATAGAAATCCAACCTACAGAATAACAAAAAGGTAGCCTTGGAATCCTGCCTGCACAAACACCAACGCGAACCAGAAAATGCCACATTCGCAGCAATTTCACAACCAAGAAAGGAGTCTGGTATCTCCACAATTTTTTAAAGACAGGTAAATCTTTATCTGGATGAAATGCAAACTACCACAACAAAAACTAACTTGTCATTAGGAAGGTGGTGCCAGAGCTATTTCAAGTTTTCAGTGATCGCAATGCAGACGTCTTTGACAACTTTTCTTAGCATTTCTCCTCAGTATGGCCAACCCCTCGACAATGCAAAAATCAAAGCTACATTTGCCAATTGGCTGGCTGCTTCTTAAATGAAAAACTTTAGTTTTTGTTCATTGACTGAAATTCTAACCTTTATTAAATCCTGTACAACTGGCAGACTTCTTTTCCTAAAAACTGGTGTTTGCCAGTTAAGACAGGTTGGTTTTTTCCCTCATTGTCAGCAATCCAAACACTAAGACGTTACCCCTCCTGAACAGCACTGTGAGCACTGCAACTGTAAAATTTAAAACTGGAAGAGCTATTGCTCTACTCTAACTCTAGGATTCAGGGACATTCTCCCTCTGCTCCCTGCCCCATTTAATCAATCAAAACACTAAACAGGAGGTGAAACACTAACAACAAACAAGAATTACCACATCTAATGTTCTCTAAATAGAAACGGTTTCAACTGTACTGTATTATAAGCCATGAATGGATGGGGTCCCTATCTGCTGGAGATCCGCAGGGTACCCTTTAGGAAAAGAGCATATAGGGGGTCCAAACTGTATATTATGGCAATAGATTCCACAAGTTATTTTGTTTTCTACGAAAGAAAGACTCAAAATTGGCCTTTCCCATACATGTTGGCTCAGATTTGTTGGAGGACACACACATGACTGAGCCACTATGGCTTTAATGGTTGACCTCCAAAAACAAGTCACCCATAAGGAAGAAAACCCAGGGGGGTGGGGGGAGCCACTTGCTTCAAGTCACGCAATAGTGGAAAAAGAGAGCCCAACTTGGGGGAACAGCAAAGTTCAGAGAGGTCATCTCAGAAAACTCTGCCACGGCCCTGTGGACACAGAGCAGCAAGAGGTCCTGCCTGTAAGCACTAGTTCCAACAAAGGCCGTCAGACAACTCACCCTGCAACTACACAGGTGTATAAGAAACTGGAAGCCAGAGTGAACCTGTCCTTTTGCACCCAAACACCAAGTACAGCATATGCGATGACCCCTGTGACCAGAGCCAAGGCTTGCAAAAAAGAACAGAATCTCCTCTTTCTTACCTCCTTGCCCCAAGCAAGCATAAACCAAAACATGTCAATTCATTCACATTTCACTGTTACCCCGACAGATGAACACGTGCATGAGAGATTGTGGAATGCCATCGCAGCTGCTTCCCCTGAAATGAGGTAGCAGACTACAACCAAATGTTTGTCCTCACATGGTTTTTTGAGGATGACTTTATCTGAATCATACTGATCCCATTAAAAAGGGACACCAGAACAAACTCACATAGGAGTAAGTTTCCTTCTAAGCCTCAGGGAGCCATCTGATAACCACACAGGAAGAGGGATACTTCTGGAGGCAGAGGAATGCTAAGCCACTGTATACTCTGTAGCCTGCCCAGCCTGATCAACAAGGAAGGAAGTAGGTACTTACAAGGCTGTTGGGCCAGAGAGCAGGAAGGGCAATAGGCATGTGGATTTAAGCTATTTCCTATATAAACAGGACAAAAACTAAAGACCCCACATCATCAGCAAGATCATCAAAGGCCCAGTGGAAAGACAAATACCCACAGAAAAACCCATAAGAGGCTCCATATTCAAACCAGAACCTAAGAAACAGACTAAGGCATTCTGTCCACTATATTATGCAGTACATAAAAGCATGTAATAATAAGTCTGTAACCCCAACAGGGTATCCAGAATATATATTCACGTAGGTTACAGACTGCCATTAAGTGCCTAGACTAAGAAGTGCAAGCTGTCGGACAACATCCAATTCACAAACAAGGCCGTGCTCAGAGATACCGTACATTCCAAAAAGATACTCCAAGAGTCAACTCACCATTCACTGTTTTCAGGCTCCCAGCAATGCCTTCCCCATGTTGCCTCTTCTGGGAATTCTTGAACTCCTTCAGTGACAAATAAAGGACTTTACGGACCACCCTTTCTTCTGACCACGGAATCCCATCACTGTCATCCTAGAGAAACGTAAGAAAGGGAAGGGGAGTTACTAAAAAGAAAGAGAGCAAATATTCAGAGTCAGAATAAACTTAAAAAAAAAAAAAAAATTCCAAACAGTATTGCATGATCAAGACCCAGTTCTGAGATGAAAATTACATCATAAGGTTGAGGGACAACCTTGGCCCTTCTGGACAGATCTCATGCAAAAAGTAATCCACAGGCTCTTGAAAGGACTGAGAGAAACTCACAACTATCTCACTTCTTTATACGCTCCACAAACCCAATGTACATTCAGCTAGTAATACTGTAGTCTGATATTCCTGAAAGTTCAGAAAGAAGATACTATACCCACAACCAGCACTGTCATGAACCATTTTACTGGAGTTTTATAAAACGACTAATGCCAGGGTACACACTACACTACAAATATGCTGTTTTGGAAATTTTGTTGTCAGCACTGGGAGTTGAGAAGATACAGCAAATATAGGTGCTGCCTTCAACGAATTTACAATTCAAGCAGAAAAAACAGAATTTGATCTGCACTGGCCTTTTAAGTAAATGAGTCACAAATGAAAGAGGGGGAGATCACGGCAGAAGAGGGCAATTGATCTTGGGGGAGTACAGATGGCATGATCATCTTTTTTTAAAAAGCACATATTAATAACAGACTTTGAAGGTCTCTATTGTGTGGTAGCCTTCACGTCTGTTAATTCAGATCCAATGGAAGTTCTTCAGGGAAGAATTAACAAGGTGCAAGCCAGGTGAAGGAGGAAGGAGAAGGAAAAAAAAGAAAGAAAAGAACTAGCAGCCAGCCCAGAGACCATTCCAGCAATTCCAGTAGTAAAGAGATAAAGAAAGAACAGAATTGTAAAAGCACTGAAGAGAGGAAAATATTGAGAAGGGACTTGAGACAGAGCCAGAGATAGAAAGATGGAAATGGTTGGCACTTGTCACTAAACGGAGATAAAATGGGAGGAAGCAGTAAGAAAGCTGTTAAGGTTCTCAGGCACTGGTTCACGTGATCACGGGCATTCAGAGGTTCCCTTCTGAGCCTATGTGCACACTGTTGCTCTAAGAAGGGCTTACACTGGCACA